TCACGCCCTGCGGGCTGCAGGAGCCAAGTTACAGTGACGAGCAGATGGTCGGCCACCAAGGAGGGCTGGGGTTTTCGGACTGTGTGGCGATCGAGTAATGGCATCCCAGCGCACACTTGAGCATTCAAGGCATCTGCCAGGATCGCCTTAATTGCAGCTCAGAAGGTAAGGGGGGAACCGAGTCCCAGGGGAAGGCGGACACCCACTTCTAGGAAACGTTGGCCTTTGCAACATACCTGGAAGTCCGGTTGTTTTTCTTGGTAGAGCTTGGGGTCCAGAAGCATGAGCCCCAACTTAGTACTTCCCGAAAGAAATGTCAAAATGGGGTGCATTGGGGGAGTCTGGTATGTAAGTGTCAGACTTTCTAGGGCACTGGAAAGGGATGGAAGGCGGTGATAGACAAGAGGTCAGAATGTGGATTCAGATCTGAGAGGGGAGAACGTGGGCGGACAAAGCATTCTGCCCCTCCCCACAGCGTGTGTACCCAGCCGTTGCTAGGATATTTTACCAGCTGTTCTCCTGTGGATTTTAACCATTTCTGTGCTCAAAAAACAAGGCTCCCTCCAGAGTTGCCTGTACTGAACCGGGATGTGAATGGTTACAGTGAGGCTGGTAAATGCTCTCAGCTTAGTAACGCCTGGCATTGGATGGACAGTGGTCGTGTTATGAAAGGATCAGTTTTTAAAGTTGGAGCCAGCCTGGGAAGCCCATGGAGAAAAGGTAGCTTTTGGCAAAAGGAAATCCTGAAGCGAGGAAGAAAGGACTGTGTCAGAGCCCCGTCAACCCTGTACCGGAATGACTGTCTTGCGGTGAGGAAGGCGGGTCTCCCTGGTGGCCTCGCTTCTGTTCTCCAGCCCATCCCTGTGGCCTCTCCCAAAGCTGCCATGGGGAGCAGGACTTTAGCCTGGATCTCACAGACTCACTGAGCCAGGAATCCAGGGGAGGGAGGGGTTGGGGGTGCTGATAGAGTGGGAGGGGCACTCATACACCTTCCTCCCTCCCCTGCCCCACTCCCCTGCAACACACACACCATGAGGAGGCCAATCTGTTCTCTTTTTGTATAAGCTTTCCTTTTCCTTCCCAAGCCTTGGAAGTGTTGCAAGGGCTGTAATTTTGAGTATGATGAGAATGGTTCGTCTCTACCGTTTCACATCAGCATCCGTTGTCCAAGCCCTGTCTACCTCACAAGCCTGCTTCCAAACCTGCCTCCCCTGCCTCCCCGGCTCCCCTGCCTCCCCTACCTCCCCTGCCCTCCTGTTCCCCTGATCCCCCTGCCTCCCCTGTCCCCCTGCCCCCCTGCTTCCCTCACCTCCCCTGCCTCCCTTGACTTCCCTGCCTCCCTCGCTTCCCCTACCTCCCTCTATCGACGCCTCCCACTCTGTTTCTTCTCTTCTCGCCTGGTCTCTCAGAGCACAGTGTGTGGAGCTCTTTTTATAGTATTCACCACAATCTGCTCCTGAATCAGATTTGGTGGTGTCTGTTTCTCCCTAATCTAGAGCTCCTGGAGACAGAACCTCGCTTTTTTTTTTTTTTTTTTCTTTTTTTCCCGAGTATTCTTCTACAGTGCCTGGTGGGAGATTTGAGACCAATAGTTTGAGGTCCAATTGGGGTTTATGAAATGTTTCTTTAATTCCAGGGGATCATATAGCCCTTCCTAAGAGAGTCAAGTTATCATAATCCCTGTATCCTATAATTATGCTTTTCTGTCTGTGGAGTCTGTTTGCCTCTGATAAACGTTGCCAGTTTATTACCCGTATACTCACACCTTGCTTCTCAATAAATGACTCTTTAATAATAGATATTTAATAGCAATGCATATTTCTTAAGTAATATTTAAAGTAGAGTATGTTATTTATAGTGGGAGAGTAAGAAAATGTTACCAGGAAGATGATGCTGTGAAAAAAGGGAAAGATTTGAAGATCTTATCACCTTCACGAATTTAATAAACAGTACGATAGAGTAGAGAATCTTGTTACCGGGAACATTATTTTGTGCGTAGCTAGTAAAAAAGGTTGTGGCTAAATTTTTTAAATATGCATTCATATTCATGATTTAGACTTATTTCATGAAACTTTCTGGGTTGATTGTTAATTTTAATTTTTTTTTAATTTGAAATTAGGACTTCAGATATACCAACAACCACAATTATAAATTGATTAGATTGGTGCTGCCGTTATCATACTCAAGTGATAATGTATTATGCTTTCGAAAATCTTTTTCAAGGTGGTAATGGCTTATACGACTGGGCCTTCGTTTAGAAACTTGAATTAGTAAAACTTGTGATTTTAACTTTTAGTGATTTGTGCAATTTGGGTATTATCTCTATACTTAAGAAGCAAGATACACATGATTATTGATTTTTCTTTTTTTTAAGATTTTATTTATTTATTTGACAGAGAGATCACAAGTAGGCAGAGAGAGAGGGGGGAAGCAAGCTCCCCACTGAGCAGAGAGCCTGATGTGGGGCTCGATCCCAGAACCCTGGGATCATGACCCAAGCCGAAGGCAGAGGCTTTAACCCACTGAGCCACCCAGGCGCCCCTTGATCGTTGGTTTTTAATATGAATATGTAGAGTTCCAGCTGTTCTTGGAAAGTTGGAGCTTATTTACAAAACAAATATTGGAGAGCCTTCTGCATGCCACAGGGACATGTTTCTATGATATGACTGTGTGTGTGTGTGTGTGTGTGTGTGTGTGTGTGTGTGTGTATGTGGCAGGGGGTGGGGAGGGCCTGGGGTGGATTCCCACCGGCCAGCTGAAGGTGGCTTCAGCACGGGTGCACAGCCTAGGTTTTTGGACCGCTGCCTCTAGTGTAGTGCCTGGCTAATAGGAAGGGATCGTTGTGTCAGTGGGGAAATGGCTTAGTGCGCAGAGGCCTAGAAGGCAGCCGGATGCCAGGAGGGTCTCCTCGTGCAGCTGGCCTGGAAGCTGGGGGATCCACTTGCAGTGGTTCTCATCCGTGTAACTTACCCATGTAGGGAGCTTGCCCAGGGCACAGGGCGGGCACCTGGGCGGGGTGGAACTCGGGAAGGCCTTCCGAGATGATGTGCTCTTCAAGATGGGCTCTGAATGGTCATTTCTCAAATACACGTGGGCAGGGAATGACATTCTGGGCCAGCATATGTCAGGCCGCTTGGATGTGAAAGCGCTTTGTCTTTGGACTGTGGATTTTTTTTTTCTTTAATGTGAAATGTGGGGGACTTCGTGGGAAGGGACAAAGGCTGAGAAAGGTTAGAGCATGAGGTGCCTGGAATCCCATGCAAAGGCTGTGTAGCCTCTGTGGCTTTAGTGGTAGGTTAGAGGAGACCGTGGTGGTTAGGGTCATAAAACTGACCGTCTCTGTGCCGTCATCGCTTCTCCTCCTGTGATTTCTCCCTCACTCCTCATTGCCCAAGCTAGGAATCTGAGTTTCTTCCTTATCTGTTCTTTTGCTGCCATGTCCCCTATCTGATCAGTCACCACCTGCCACCACTTCTCAGTTTCTGTCTAATCCTTTCGCTCCCCTTTGTGCTCCTTGCCGGAGTCTGGGCTGTGCTCTGTGGCTGTAACGGTCTCCTCTGTGGTCCCTCGGCCCCGCATTCATTCTGTATTCAGAGAGAAGCTTCTGAATACAGACTGGGTCAGGCTAGTTCCTGCTCAGGCATTCTGTGGCCTCCCGTGGCCCGGGGGAGAAGCTCACCTCCTTGAGGGGACCTGCTTCAGCTCCGCCTCCCGCGCTCTCCTCCGGCCGTGCCCCACGTGCTACCTCGTGTCCCTGTCATGCTGAGCCCTGCCCCTCACTCTGCCAGATCCTCTCAGGGCTGGCCTCCTGCCCTGGGACAGCTTTCTCCTCCTGCCGCTACACGCCCTAGCTTTGTCCCTTGGTTTGTTGCTTTCCGGCTGTGTTCCCTGAGTTTCCAGCTCTGGGTTTTTGGTGCCCTCCATCTGGGAACCTGCAGTGCCCACTGTTTGCCCAATTGTGACGGGTGAAGCAGCATGTTACTCACTTGTTTAATTGTCTCTTTCCTGAGGTGCCTGGGTGGCTAGGTTGGTTAAGCGTCTGACTCTTGATTTCCACTCAGGTCATGATCTCAGGGTCATGACATCGAGCCCTGCCTCAGGCTCTGCGCTCAGTGTGGAGTCTGCTTGAGATTCTCTCTCTCTCTCTGCCCCTTCCCCCACTTGCTCTCTCCAAATAAATAAGTAAACAAATAAATAAATCTTTTTACAAAATAAAATGAAATAGTCTCTTTCCTGTAAGAGACGGTGAATTCTGTGATGGCAGAAACCAAGCGTAGCGTGTAGACCATCTTAGTCCCAGCATCTGGAGCCGTGCCTGACAGGCACTAGGTGTTTGCTGAATGTCAGGTCCGTGAATATCCAAGGTACCTGTTCCCGTGGCCAGCATGCAGAGGAGTGTCAATAAATTAGGCAGGTTGTGCTTACTGCCCTGCACCGCAGCGGCGGCTCCTATCCTACAGGTAGGCAGTAATCTCGTGTGCACAGCTAGAGCATCGTAAGGGCGGGCACAGGGCCATCAGAAGTGACAGGTTAGAAAGTTACAGCTGATCTTGGCTGATAAACTCTCGGAGAAGCGGTGAGCGCAGAAGCCAGTGGTTTGAAGAGTCAGAGGTCACGGATTGGAGGTGGGGACCAAGCACAGGTAAAGTTTGAGAAATGGTTGACCGGAGAGGAAATTAGTAGAGACGCAGCAGTGTCACACGGAAATACTTTTAGGTAATGAAAAGATTCTGTGTCTGTTCATGGGCTGAGGATGAGAATCCGACACGAAGGCAGGTGCAGAGACGGGTGTGGCCCTGGGTCTGACCTGTCAGCCGAAGCCCTGGCCTTGCCCCGGAGGGAAGCTGGTGTCGGACACGTGCAAGGACAGAGGAAAGGCGGTGGGCCGGGTTGCGGGACTGTGTGCAGCGGGCTGGGGAGAAACCAAGGGTGAGTGGCAGGGGAAGGAACATGTTCAGGTCTGTTGCCCACACCCGTGATGTCTTTTTTCCTTCCCGTAGCTGTTCGGGGGCCTCGTCTGGATCTTGGTTGCCTCCTCCAACGTTCCTCTACCTCTGCTGCAAGGATGGGTCATGTTCGTGTCCGTGACGGCTTTTCTCTTTTCCCTCCTCTTCCTGGGCCTGTTCCTGTCTGGCATGGTGACTCAGATTGATGCCAACTGGAACTTCCTGGTAAGGATTTTTAAGTCTATTTCAGGAAAATGCGAGAAACGTATAAATACCCTATTCTGTCCTGAAGTGCCTGTTCCCCTGTTCTCTCTGTTGCCTCCAGTGAGAGAGGAAAGGTCCGACCCCCGGGTCTGCTGTGCGGCCGTGTGGCTGCCTTCCTGGGGAAGCAGGCTCCCAGTTGGTGAGATTTCTGTCGATAGAGCCGAGCAACCTGTCTGTTACTCCGCCATGACTTAGATGACCTTTACTCAAAGACTCTTATTTCCTGCAACAGATGACTTGCTTTGCAGTTATTGAACTATCAAGTAGGTGCCTTTGGGAGATGGACGCTATGACATAGATCTTGAAATTTTCCATCAATTTCTGCTTCAGATATTAAATAATACATTCTTTTCAGAAAACCAGTAGCTGTATACTCTCTACTGTAAATACTTAGAAAAGGGGATCATTTATTTTTAATTCCTGTCCTAAACTAGTAAGAATTGTTAATTTTAAGAAATGAATTTATAATCAACCTAATTTTAAAACTTATGATAGCCACTAAATTGGATCAACTTGCTTTCGCTTGTCCCGTGTAATAGAGGGGGCCTCCTTCATTTTGAGGCTTATTCCGTCTCTGAGACTATTCCAGAATGGCCAGTGGAGCTTGAATTCTGGTCTGCGGCAGACAGCGCCTGAAGAAGTTTGTGAGGAGTTCAGGGAAGAACCTCTGTTCCATTTCAGTCAGTTGCTGATTAGGAATTTAAATCAGGCCTTAGTCAGGATGGTATTGTTCTTTTCAGGGACGGTAACATTGTATCTACCAGCTTTAGGAGGGATGTTAGGCATATTAAAGAATGTTCAGAGCGTAAGGAGAGCCATCATCACCCTGGATGTTACCAGCAGTGAAGCCTAGTGGTGTGGTTGCCAGTGAAGCCAGCCTGGGCACAGTAGGTTAACTGCAAAGTTAAGGAGGGAGCGTGGGGCAAGGGTTACAATCTTGACGGGATCTGAAAGGAGGTCTGGTGTGTTTAGTAACTGTGTAGCCTTGGCCAAAGTATGGAACCTCTGTGACTTCTGATTTCTTCATCTGTAGAATGGTAATAATAGTACCTACCTGGAATTAATGTATTCGGAAGTACTCATCGGCTTTGCATGTGATCTGTGGTGTACGATCCGTAATCATCCTAATTCCTTAAATATGTCAAGGCTTGCAGCTTGACACTCTGAAAGTCCTTCTTTTGAATCACTAAATTGTACACTTTAAACTAATCTTACACTGTATGTTAGCTAACTGGAATTTAAATAAAAACTTAAGGAAAAATTATTCCCAATACACACACACCACCCCACCCCCCCACACACAGGTGTTTCATAAGTTGCTGATGCAGTGTGTTCCTATGTTTTTGCCTTGCTTTCTCATTAATGATGAGAAAATATTTCTAATAATTTGTCAAGTGATGAAGATCAGAAATCTCTATTTAAGTTACAGATAGATTGCTTAACCTCCTCTTTCAGAATGCTTGGCTTTCCCATATTTATGAATGAATGAATCACTTCGTACCCGATGTTGGTAAGCCCCACCAGGCTCTTTAACTATTAAGCTCCAAAGATGGTATTTGGCCAGCAGGAACCAGTATAGCCTGAAATACTAGTTAATACACAGTCATTGCTTGAACCTGCTACCTCTTTCCAAGTGCTGTGCTCCCTGCCACCCTGTCCTGTCCTCTGGGACCTTCCTGGACCTCCTGGTAGCCCAGCCACTAAAGGGTTACCACCTGGGAAGGTAGTGAGTCTCCAGGGTCCTGCCCTGCCCAGCCTTCCTTCTAATAGTTGATGCGCACGCTGTACCAATGTGTACCTATTTCCCAACATCCTGCCTGGTTTTCTTAGACATATGTTCATACCATCTTTTCTCCTTTCATTTATATTGAATCTAATTTTTGGTATTGAGTACATCATTAATATCCTTATAAATTCATTAGGTTTCCTAAATATGTGGTTCCCCCCATCTGTAACATTATGTTTGTTGTTCAGACAATAAAATGTAAGAGTGTGTGCTGTTTTTTCTTTCTTTCTTTTTTTTTAATTAAACCACTTAATGAAAGTGGCAACTGAAATTGGAAAGACCCTACCACTGTGCTGCAGAGGTCACCTGCAGAGCTGAACCCATGGTTCTTTAGCCGGGGCCGTCCACTCTTACTGAGGGAGGAAACGGTAGACCCACGCAGCACTTGGCACAGTGGCGTTCTCTGCACGGCCTTGTCATGGTGGCCACACTTTCCAAGAGCCAACTCATCATGCCTTTATGGAGCTGACTTAAACGCTGGCCATATTTAGAACAAGCTCCTTTTTTTCTCTCTCTCCTCTTGTGATTTTTCACATAATCAGTCATTTCTGACCACAGGGTTGCTTTTAGTAGGTTTTGTAATGTATCGTGTATCCTCTCTGCCAGAAAAATTTCTGAGCCATGCATATCATGGAATCGTCACCAGATGGTAACCGTTTTTAATTGCTGTGTTCTGGAATTGTTAGACTTTAACTGCTCAAAAAATAATTGTTTCCATTTGTGATAACAGTTTAATGTTACCTGTGTACAGCACATGAAGGAAACAGGAATGCATTTTGTTGAAGAATTTATTTTCTAAAAGTATTTGTTGTGGGATATTAATTAAAATATTCATGGTTTCTCGCTTTTTGTTGAGCATGAGGTTGGATTAACATTTGTGGTGGTAGATATCTTCAGAATTTTTTCCCCAGCTTGATGAAATAGAAATACAGTATGTAATATATGTAATAACAAATATTAAATGCTAGAAACTTGCCCTTTTCTAATTTGAGGAAAGAAGCAAGTTTTGATTTTTGAGATTATTTTTCTGTGGTTTTTTGTTTTTTTGTTTTGTAGAGAGGAGATAGCATTTTGCCTAACTTTAAAATAAGAGATCCCATACTTATTTTCCATTTTTGGAGAGGTGGTATATAAAGGAAAGACATATTTTAGAAAAATAAGAGCTACAAAAAAAAAAAAGTCCCATGCAATTCAACGTGCTGCACTCTATTTCCCCAAAGTAGGTGGCATACGTTTGCCTGTTGTTGACATCACTTACTGCTGTGAGTGTCCCAAACTGTATTTTCTGTTCCGACATTCATTTACTTACTTGATCTTTATGACAGTTCCTTATGGGAGAGTATTACTGTTCTCATTTTTACGGTTGAGGAAGATAAGCTCAGCGTGGCTCTTGTCCCTTTTTCATGCTGCCATTGTGGAAACCAGGATTCCCCTATTTGCAATGTAGCTTTCTTTAAAACTAGTTAGTAAAAATTTGACTTGAGGAGCAAAACAGGGGCTAAAGATAAGAATATGGAGAAGAAAGAAATAAAAATCATGCTCTGCTAAATGTTGTTTACCTGAGCAAAAGGGAAGACAAGCTTGCCACAGTCTGGGCTGTGTGACTATCGGGAAGCTTGGCAGAAGACAGAAGAGGAGGAAAATACAAAGGAGACTCGGAAAGGGGCTGGGGCCATCTGCTTACGGGGAGGTGCCAAGAACTCAGGACAGGTGGTTCACAAAGGGTCGTCCCCGGCCAGCGACGGCGGCAGCACCTGGCACCTTGTTGGGAGAGCAGATTCTCAGGTCCCACAGACATCCCCAATCAGAAACTCAGGAGTTGGGACACAGCAGTCTGTGCTGTAACAAGCTTTTCAGATGACTCTGAGGCCTGCTTACCTTCAAGAACCATCGGTTTTATATAAACGATCTACATTGTCCAAAACAATGAGCAAAAAATCTGTGGAAGACCTTCTTGCATACGTTCCACACAGAGCAGGAATCCGAATCAGATGCCCGGAAGGCCAGATAGAAATGTGGGTGTGGCTCTCCCCGGGGTGGTGGGGGGACCTTGACGGAGCTCCTGATACATACCGAGTCCTAGGGTAGGCCCTAGAAATACAGTGGTGAACGAGATAGGCCTGTAGTGGCTCTCAGAGTTTGCTGTAGCAGATAGTGTCAGTAAAGAAGTAATAACACAGGGGCACCTGGGTGGCTCAGTCAGGTAAGTGTCTGCCTTGAGCTCAGGTCATGATCTTAGGGTCCTGGGATCGAGCCTTGTATGGGGCTCCCTGCTCAGCAGGGAGTCTGCTTCTCCCTCTCCCTCTCCCTTGGCCCCTCCCCTCTGTTCATGTTCTCTCTCTCTCTCTCTCTCTCAAATAAATAAATAAAATCTTTAAAAAACAAAAAGAAATAATTACACAATGGATGCATTAATCACAATGATGTTAGTGGCCAAGCAGGGAGTGTTCAGAATACTGAAGAGCGTATCTGTCATCTCAGGTCCACTGGGAAGCAGACTGTACGATGAACTTAAAAGTGCAAGAGATTCGGGGGCACCTGGGTAGCTCAGGCGGTCAAGCGTCTGACTCTTGATTTCAGCTCAGGTCAGGATCTCGGGGTCATCAGATCGAGCCCCAAGTTGGACTCCAGGCTAAGCTTGGAGCCTGCATAAATTCTCTCTCTCTCCCCCTCTCCCTCTGTCCATCTCCCCTGCTCCTGCTATCTCTCTCTAAAACTAACAAACAAACAAAACCACCAAACAAACAAACTCCAAAAACTGCAAAAGACTTTTTTTGAGGGGAAGGGGGAAGAGATAGTACCTGTCTGGGGAGGGAAATGGGAAAAAGGGTGATGGGGAGGGAAATTGGATAAAGCAGGAAAGTCCTAGAGTGGGCTGCAGATCAACGGTCTTACCCAAATTAATGAGAAGCTCAGGAGCCTGGGCCAGGCACCAGTGTCCCCACTGTGCCGTCTGTGTATCTGGGAGCTGTTGACAAAAATACACAGCAGCGTGTGGACAAACATCGGTTCATGTAAGACAGTGTAAATTCCAGCAAAGTTACACTTCACGATGCTGCAACATGTGAGATCACTTTATGACAAGTGAGTTTTGTTTGAGAGTCCCTATACTTTTTGTCGAAGTATATGATATATAATTTGCTTTTTTTTTAGAATAGAGGGAGATATGGTATTGAGTTCTATGATGTCATAAGTCTTCTGCATTCTTCAGTATATGGGGTGACAGTCTAATGGATGAAAATAATAACTGCTCAGAAATAAAAGACTTAATTATAAAATGTATGTATGTATGTTATTATATAACTAATATACTACAATAATACGACTATTCTCCAATAACTATAATAGCAAGGCATATGAAAGTATGTATTTTATTATAAAATTCAGGACGTCAGGTTCGTCAGTACATCGACTACAGCAGGTCGGTTGGTTTTCATTTGGATTCTAATAGCTTGACGTTGTTGAAGCAGCCAAAGTAAGTTGCGAGTATGGCTGAAGCTTGTTTGATGATGTGGTCTCGCCCTCCTGAATCTAAACCTCATGAGTTCAAATAAGGAACAGAAAAATGAAAAAAGTATTACTTTTAATTACAGGTGTCTTTTTTGGTTTTCCTCCTCTTTCAGGATTTTGCATACCATTTTACAGTGTTCGTCTTCTACTTCGGAGCCTTTCTCCTGGAAGCAGCAGCCACATCCGTGCATGACCTGCGCTGCAACACGACCATGACGGTGCAGCCGCTCTTGAGCGATAACCAGTATAACATAAACGTAGCAGCCACAGTGAGTGTCCATGAGTCCAGGCGACCAGCACCCCCGCCCCCGTGGTCACGGTCTCCCAGAAACACCTCAGGCAGCCCTCGCTTTCTCTAACAGGAGCCATTCGATTCCACATAGACTCGCTATTTAGCTGTATGACAACCTCATGAGCAAAGCTCCGCCCTTACCCCCAGTGTTATAGACCCTGATGCAGGTGAATGCCAGCCCATGGTTGCGGCTGGCCTGGCACAACAGAGCCTACTTTGTAGAAAGAATTCATTGTGCTTTTTACTTCCTCTAACTTTAGATTGTGGTGAGGGAGATGTGTTCTTCAGTGGTCAGTACCTGCTTGTAATTCATTTTAATTCAGTGGGTGCTTATGGAGAGCCTACCACGAAGGAGGAAATTGGTGGGGTGTTGGGGACTGGGATGAACCACGTACAGCTCCTGCCCCTGAGGAGTGTCCAGAGGGCTGAAGGGGGGTGAATATTCCCACCATGACAATAGATGACATACAGATGGAATGCATTCCGTGGGGAAAGTTTGTGAAATTTTTAGTCCTCCTTAATTCATATACTAAGTGAGTTTGTTGTTTTTTATTGACATGGGTAATTTGAAGAAATACTACGTTATTTCTGTTTTTATAATTTTGAAAGTGTCAGAAATCCAAATTATTCCCTGAAGGTGTTGATATTTAATATGGCTCTGTGGCAAGTTAGTGACCCTAATGTTTCACTATTGTACGTAGGTAGTCTATATAAACAGCCCAGGACTCCCCCATATAGCTATTAAAATCTACCGGCACTTTTTAAAATGATAGAAATATCCCATATATGCACAATTCAATATGGTGGCTACTAATTAATCCATTAATTCATTCCTTTTAATTCATTACATTTAAATTTAAATAGCCACATGTGGCTGGTGGCTCTCATATCGGACAGCACAGGTCTAGAGTCTGGGTTTTGAAGGGTGGAGGCACGATGATTCTAAGACCTACAGCCATCAGTTTCCTAAGCCTCTGTCCAGCTTTGTCAAAATTTATTCATTGAGTGTCTACAATGAATTAGACAATTTGTGGATTGCAACAGAAAGGAGACCTGGTCCCAACTTTGACAGGCTTATAGTTTAGATCAATGATTTTTACACTTTCTTTTATGAGAAGTGAAATTGCTTCACCTAATGAAATCTTACTGAAAACCCAGTAAGTATATACAGAAGGTGAGAGCACAGCTGCTCTACTTGGAGTGGGAGACAGGGGGCTTGACTGACCCTATCCGTCCTTCTCCTGAAGCCACCTCTGCCCACCTCATCATCTCTGAGGCACTGCTGTGGGATCCCTATTATCCAGAGACCACAGTTAGGAAACCACTGGTTTTAACAATGTTGTGAAGTGAAGAAAAGTTCCGGGACTTGGAATTGACGTTTTTCCTCCCAAGCGTCCTTCCTGAGTCATCAGTTCTCGTTGGATTTTCCTTCACTCCTTTCATCCCTTCCTTTTCAGTGGTGTAGGCTGCGCTGTCATTGCCGCTCAGATCCTTGAAGTAGTACCGAATGGGTCTACTTATAGTCGCCTTAAGAGCCCACTTTCATAAGAGTAGTGGGTGCTCAAGTGCTTTGTGGATGGTACATGTCATTAATTTCTCACCGACATTCCCTTGTCCTAAGAGGCATGATTCTGTTCTGGCCGACCCTCTTCTGTGACTTTGTCCCTCTCTCTGCTTAAGTGAAACTGCCTTGGTAAACCTCAACGTGCTTTTAGTTCTACAGTACCCCCCATCTCATCTATACCCTCCTGCAGAAGTGAATCTTTAACTTCTGAGTTTTAATACTACCTAAATATATGAGCCATGCTTTTGTGACATGGCATTGAATCCCTTACTTTACTTTTAATTGCAATGCACCTGAGAGAGGAAAATGCATTTTCACTAATAATGCATACTAGAAGTGGTCATTCTCATCCAGCAGATAGTGTCTAGATTATAGATGTGTCACACAGACAACCAGCAGAGCAGGCCGGAGAGAATTGCAGAACCGCAGTTAGAGAATGACCATGTTCCCCAGGTGAATCCAATATTCCTTCTCAGAGCTAGAGCTTCCCGGTAAAGGATCCCTGCACTAAATCATGTTTTACCATATTTAATTGCTTTGTCTTAAAGTTTTCTATGGCTCATGAATTCCCAAAGGATGAGGACACTATCTACTCTTTGCCTATCTACACCAGATGTACTGATGTACACATAGTTGGTGCTAAAGAAATCCTTGTCAGATAGTAAGGGCGGTAATTCAGAGTTGAGTGTAGGTTTCAGAACTATCTCCCATGCCAGTCTCTTGATTCGTTTCTGTGGCTTTACTTTGTTTGCTTCTAAGGCATTTTCCACTGTCACAGGAAGGGTTTGATACATCCTCAAGTTCTAAGACTTGTATTTTTCTTGCCGTGAAATCACTGTATGAATAGACACCGTGTACTGACTTTTTGAATATCATGTCGGGGGTTGTAGAAGTATTTAACAAGTGAGTCCAGCGCGTGAACAAAGGTTCAACCTAAGGCTATCCACAAATGAGAAAATTATTGGGGGCCAGAATGTTTAAAAGAAGGGTTAATGATGTGCGGGGGTAAAACACAGTAGTACAGATCATCAAAAAGATGACTATAAACTATATTTCGTACATGTTGAAGTATCTTTAGGTAGGTTGATCAGTGTTCAGATAGTTGTTCTTTAGAATAAGTGTTTTCTTAAAGTCAGTGTTATAAATCTGATGAGCTTTTGTTTCCTTTTTCTTAGATTTTTGCCTTTGTGACAACAGCTTGTTATGGTTGCAGTTTGGGTCTGGCTTTACGAAGATGGCGACCGTAACACTCCTTAGAAACTAACGGTCTGTGTTGGTTTCATTTGTCTATTTTATATGTCTGATCAATTTGGATACCATTTTGTCCAGAGAGAACAACATTCCAAAAGTAATCTGTTTAGTATGTGGAGAGAATCTAAATAACAAGTTTTGGTTCATTTCGTGGATGGAATTTTAATGTTATTATGATGTTAAACAGAGAAATGACCTTTAATTTTACATCTGTCTCTTTTTTAAAGAAAATTTTCCTTTATAGCCATAAAATATACAGATACTGCTCTTTTGTTTAATTGCTGGGTCACCTAAACCTTAATTTTAATAGGTAACGAAAATTTCCTTAAAAAACAAAAAAATAAAAAGCAAAAACAAACCACATTTTAAATAGCCTTCCCACTGAACTCTGTCTTTTAGCATAAAACAGAGATTGGCACTCTTTTTTCTAAAGGTCCAGATGGTAAATAATTCAGGTTTTGTGGGCCATGCAGTCTCTGTTGCAAAAATTCAACCCTGCTGTTACTTTGTGGAAGCAGCCATAGGCAATAGCAAATGAATAAGTGAGTGTGTGTCCCAATAAAACTTGATTCAGGAAGACAGGAAGCAGGCTGGATTTGGCCTGTGGGCTGCAGGTTATAGTTTGCCGACCTCTGGTGTGACACTTTAGTTATATTTTATGTATTTTACTAAACTGATCCCGAAAGGTATAAAACGAGATAAATCATGTAATATTTAGCCTCATTATGCAATAATCACATTGCCTTTGTGTTAATGGTCAAGTCCTTACCCTTGAAGTGGTGGATAGTTTTTCAGGCAAATTCAAGCAGAGTCTTGGGTACAGGAAAAAGTAATTTGTGAAGTAAATCCTAGTTGCTTAATCAAACTAAGCGACTCTTAACAACTGAGCAGACCTCTCATCTGGCATCCTTCAAATGAGATCCCCAGAGACCATTCACCACTACTGGAACTGGTATCTAGCCACTTATGTCTTTCTTTGGGTTTATTTATGCTTCAGAATATAGCTGTTTGTCCTGTGCATGAACATACGAATATTTGTGTGTGGATATATGAGGCTTTACCAAATAGAGCTTCCCTGAAGAGTTAACTTTTTACTTCTCATTATTTCACATTACTTTCTCAGTTAAATTTGAATAGAGTATTAAATATAATTTAAAGTTGAAGCTTCTTATGTGTTTTGATAATAGCCCCCCAACATCTTTGTTGTTTTGCATTGGTAACAGATATATGAAATCAGTTGTAAAGCAACAGCCATCCTAAAAACTTGTCTCTGGTCAAATTGCACAGAAAATACCTTAATGCATCTGTTCGAGAACCTGGTTGTGGGAAGGTGCCAAAAAATGGCTTGAATGGGAGAACAAGTAAGAGTTCAGTCCCAGATCCCACCACACTGTCCAAGCAGGATACTTATGTCCTGCCCCAGGTGGGTTTCCTCTGGGAAAAGAGGGGTTTGACCATTCAAAACCTTCAGCCCTTTGCCTTTTTTTTGGCTGAGTCATCCCCTAAGAGTGCCATGTCTGAATTGTGCTACTAGATTTCATGGAATGTAGAACAATCCCAAATGAGTCACATGATCAATGCTGAGTGAGCAGATGGTATTTATATAATAATCCCCTAGAAAGAAGAATCTTATCAGAGTTTGGTTCGTGATATACAGACGTATTTCAATATGCGGCAAGAAGAAATCAGTCTAAGACTTTCAACTCATGTTCTATCTTTTCTATAGTATCTGACTTCCTTGGTTTTTCTAGCTTCATACCACACACTTAAACCTGTATTATGAATTGTATATTACAAAGTCATAAATGTGCCATAAGGATATATAGTTCATTCAAGTTGGAATCGTTTAAAGTTAGTCTGCTAGATTTAGTTGCGAGATTTTATTTTTGTTTCCAGAGTATAACAGGTCTATGCTTGGTGGCATTAAATTAAATGATTTCATGAAATGGCTTTAGTGGCACTTTTGTAAATGGATTGCTTCTAGATCATTAAGAACCAAGCCTAAAACTCATCTGACTGTGAATACCTACATTTGTAGATTAATCATGTTCTGGGTTTGTGAATTGAGTGACAAAGCACTTGAACAAAAATTATGACATTTGAGAATTTCTTTATATATGCTATAGAGATGAGAAAGTGTTGGTGGTTTTAAAATCTGGTTACTCCATGATGAAAAGAAATTTATTTTATAAGTGTTATGACTCTAATAAAGTATTCATTTGATAATCTCTTTTGGTCATCTATTTTTTATACAATTCACTTTGAAATTCAGTTAAAGGTTTGATGTAAACTTGACTGATTTGGAATTTCTAGACTCACCATATACCAAAGTTCTGCTTTAAATGTTTCAAAGATAAGTCTCTCAGGAAATGTCAGTGAGCATTTTTTCTTTGGTGAAGGTCAAAGAGGTAAGTCTTTGGAAGTAATATTTTAAAGAAAGTTTAAGTTATACTCTATTTTATTTAAAAGCATTTATATAGTGCTTACTATGTGCCAAGCAGTATTCTTGGCATTTTTTCTTTAAGATTTTGTTTATTTATTTGAGGGAAAGAGAGTGAGAGAGAGCATGAGAGGGGAGAAGGTCAAAGGGAGAAGCTGGCACCCCATGGAGCAGCGAGCCCGATATGGGACTCGATCCTGGGACCCCGGGATCATGACCTGAGCTGAAGGCAGTTGCTTAACCAACTGAGCCACCCAGGTGCCCTCGGCACTTTTTCAAATATTAGCTCATTTAATCCTCATCGTGACAACTCTGTGGGATAGACAGTATCATCTCCTCTTAAAGATGAGGTAACTAGGGGCACCGGGGTGGCTCAGTTGGTTAAATATATGACTCTCCATCTCAGCTCCGATTTTGACCCCAGGGTCGTGGGCTTGAGCCCTGTGTTGGGCTCCATGCTGGGCACGCAGCCTACTTAAAACAAAACAAAACAAAACAAATAGATGAGGGAACTAAAACACAGACCTTAAGTGACATCGGGGTCATGTGTCTAACAAGTGTAGACACATGAGTAGCCAGCAGTCTAGCTCCCGAGTCCAGGCACCAAATGGCTGTGTATCCCTCGGTTCTTCAAGATTTTACCTGTTTTATATGTATAGAAATGTGACCCTTCCCCTCCAAAAAAAGTTTTTAGCAGAATGTTAAATATAATTGTTTGTAGCAGATATCATCTTTTAGAACTCTTTTGTCAGAGCCAAGGACTTGTGAGTTTAGCGGTAAGACTTTAGACCAGACCTCCATTACAGGGGGAATGTTAGGCAGCTTTGGTCTGTGAAGGCCCCCGGAGAGCTTGGCTACCTATTTCTCCGGCCCAGTAATTCCGGCCCCGGAGTGTGGGCCCTTATTCTCCTGCATTGCCTTACAAGTCCGTCCTCTGTTGAATTAGCCTGGCTTCTTGGTCAGCCCTGGAATGGACATCAGAAGGGTTCTCTAGTCTGAATTGTACCATTTGGTCTTGACTCGTAAACTCTCAGTTTCCACTTCTGTATGTTCAGAATCTGGAATTTGAAGTCATTGTCACGAAGGTTCAAATTGGTTATAAAGTGAGCCAGTGTCTCAGGTGGCCGCGTGATGTATTCACATGGGAGGGGCCCAGAGTTGAAAGGGAGATGATCATCTTTAGAACACATATGGATTTTTGGTAATGTTTCGAAAGCTCATCTTCTTAGAGAGAGTGGGCAGTGGTCAGTACTAGTCGCTCTCTCTGGAGCCTTCTTCCCTCACCCTCTTTGGGTCTTTGCTCAGTTGTCTCAGGCCAGCAGTCCTTCTTCTCTTTTCCTGCATTTCTCCTAGGCACTTAGGACCTATATTTTAAAATATAGCATGAAGAGCATCTATTTTATTTATTTATGCATTTGTCCTCTTCTCCACTAGGAGGTAAAGTTTATGGGCAGGAGCCTTCTACTCTGTTTACGGCTCCATCTCCAATGCCTAGAAGAGCGCATAGCAAATAGCATGTGCCCAGTAACTAGACCTTGAGTTAGCAAGTGGATGAATGTTATAGCAATACCTCTTTTCATGTTCCAGTCGATATACTCTATAAAAATTGATCCTGTGAGCACTTGAAGTTTTCTGGTATAAAATGGGTAGGCATTTTTCACCTAGCTCTGGATGTAGTTAGAGTGAATTCTACTTTACAGGTCCTCTAGTAATTAAATATATGTGTGTTGTAAAAATGTTATGTGATCAGTCTTTCTATAGCAGAGGAGCTATGCATATAAAAATTAAGCAACCTGTGTAAACTCATTAGATCTTTATTCCAACTTTTTCCATGATGAAAGACATCACTGTAGATCCACCTGACTTAGTCCTCAAAGCATCATCTGAACTAAGAACCAATGGCCAAAGGCTGTCATTCTTCTATAATTATGATGGGAGTGGAGGGATCTGGCTAGTGGTTTTTGCTAAAAATTATGATTCTCACTGTTCTAAGTGTAACCAGAGGTGGAAGTATCTATGTATATATCGTGTGGCATTTTGATTTTTCATGTCTGCCAACTTCAAGCTTTACCCTTGGGTATGCATGAGAGGTTTTTTAGATGAAGGATATTGTTGAATTCCCTTCTTGCAGTTACGTGTATTATTCTAAGTATGCCTGATATCCTGAGTCAATGCACAGTTTTGCCGAAGCAGTGAAGTTGTGGTGTAACAGTATACTGGGCCACGTGGCCTTTTCATGAAATTGTGCATGTCATTGATTATTAAATAGGCCATCTTACTGAATACACTAAAACTTTATTGTGGAAAATTTTTGGAATGTGAATAAACTCATTTATATACAAAAATATACAAAATATTTAACAGTGGTTAACAAGATTTAACATTTTAACATTTAACATTTAAGATTTTAAACAATTTAACAATCATCTCAATTTCTGAACATGCCTACCTTACTTATGTATATGAAGTATATGAACTGGGGTCAACCTATTTTAACTATTTTAATTTTAAATCATAAAATATAGTTAAAATATTTTCTCATATCACACTGTGTAGTAAATTACCCTGAATATTTCTCAAGGCACTGACACTCATTTTGGAGACCCCAGGAAAGAATGGATCATTGATCTGGAGGTCAGCTGCCTGGATTTATGTCTTCTACTGGTTTGAATGAACTGTTGAATAAAATAAGAAGGGAAAGTGTCTCATATAGGGTCTGGCAGCCATAGACATGGTCTTTTATCTATACTTTTGCTTTGGTTTCCTGGTGAGAGAAGAGC